CTGGAAGATGACATATTAATTGTCATTTATTTTTTTCCTTTTCTGCATAGATTCCATTATCTCCCACTATGGGGAATTACACTGTGTATGTTGTTATTGTCATTGTTGCATATATTCTAATGACAGTTCCCTATATTTTTTTTTACATATTAAGTTATTTGTCTTAAACTATTAACTCAATAATATTAGTCATTTTTAAATCTTATATGGTCACTACTATATTCCCGAATCACTAAAAGACAAAAAATATATATTTCAATTTGTATTATTTGATAAATCTTTGAAAAATTGTGATAATTGTTTTTTGACTTTTTGCTTTTCTAATAGAAATACTTATAACTTTTATAAGATATTCCCGCAGAAGTCCTAACAATCACAATATAACTTCTAAGAACTTTTGTAGGACATGATTTTATCCTTTATAGTGCTAGCTAAATGTGATTCATTATTTTCAAAGCTTATACTTTTTAAAATTTTTATTTTATAACTCAAACACATTGTTTAATATATTTTATATAATTTTAAAACTATATATCAATTAATATGGGTACACGTGCAAAGCGCGTACCCTAATACTAGTATATAATATAGGAAGTTTTATATTCTTATACACTATTTCAATTTTTATTACCCTCCCTACTCAAATTTTAATATAATTACATATTATATACCCAATTACCAATTATGTACATTTTTAGGCACTTAATAATAATAATTAGTGTCCTAAAATCACTCTAACGTATCTTCCACTCCACCCACGTTTCTCTCGCCACAATCCCCCCCNGGTCACATATTGGGCCTACTATGAGTTTTTAGGGGGTGAAATGTAGCAATAGTCACTTTTAAGCCCGCTATTTAAAATAGAAATTTTTACATTCCTATATACTATTTCAATTTTTATTACCCTCCCTATTCAAGTTTTAATATAATTACATATTATATACCAAATTACCAATTATATATATTTTTAGGCATTTAATGATAATAATTAGTGTCCTAAAATCACTCTAACGTATCTTCCACCCCACCCCACCACGTATCTTGCACTCACCCACATTTCTCTCTCCACAAACTTCAGTATCCCTCCATTAATGCCTATTTCCACTCTTCTTTAAAAATCAGTCTACATTTTTTCACTATTCTTCAAAAATTTCTCTCCATTTTTATAGATTCAAGCTCTAAATACTCTACCACACACCTCCATTAACGCTTGTTACTTGCTTAATTTTTAATGAAGAAGAAAACAGTTTCGAAGATCATCCCTAAAAAAGTTAAAGTAGGTGATATTCCTACATTTGATTTGAGTGTTTTCTTAGAGAATTCACCCAAAAAAGTTTCAAAATCAGCACATGCAAAAGAAGAGACCAAGCATAGGCTTTCCCCTCGTGAAGCTAGGGCAGAAGCTCGTACAAAATAAAAGCACGATATGGATGCTGGTGAATGAATTTGCCAGATAAAGTTGAATACATCCTTGAAGAAGTTGAAACAAAGTCCGAGCATCCGATAGATGCTCCATCTCCATCCGGACATAAGCAGGCAATTGGAATAGATGACAAGAAAGATATTGTGAAATAAATAAAAAATTAAGAAAAGATTTGACAAGGTAACATATATACATAATCCTAGAGGGTTTCTTTAATTTATGTTATGCAAATTATTTCGTTAACTCTTTCTATTTTAATATGTAGGTTGGTTTAGATCTTGGAACTTTCAAAAAAGAGGTTTTTGAAGAATTAGGTAGCATTCGACTGCTACTCAATGATTCAATCGAGACTGTTTTACAGGCGATAAACAGTCAAAAGGATAACATTGATGCTAAGGTTTCATTTGAAATATATTCATTTTAGACAATATTTTTTACCATGTCTAAGTTTATATTATCATTCATAAAGTATATAGCCTAACAAATTAAATGCTATTAGTTTACTGGCAGTTCTACAAAAAATGATGAGCACTCCAAAGAAAAGAACAATCAACACTTTTCGGGTAGTAGTGCTAAACCAGTGCATGCCAGCAGCAGTAAAACATGCATCTACATTATATCTACTTATATCTACATATCTACATTATGTCTACAATATATCTACATATCTATATTATGTCTACAATATATCGACATATTACCTAAATTACCAGCAACTAATCTGCATTATATTTCCAATGGTTTTCTTAGTTACAGGGCACGTGAATGACATAGAAATTGAGGAGAATGTTCATGTAGGTGTTGATTTATCTTCCCAATTTGAAGGGGCATTTGATGAAGAGAATGCATGTATGATTTAGTACATGTTATCATCACATTTCACAATACATTTTGCATATCATCTGCAGGATAACATTTTAACAAATTTACTACAATTAAACTATAATTTTATATGTAGTGATGTTAATGTTTACTACAAATTATCTATAATTTTATTAAGTTATACATATTTATTGTAACAGAGAAGGAAACTATGCATGTAGAATCTCCAAAACAGGAAGCTACAATAAGCATTCCAGGCGAACAAAAAAATGAGGAGAAGGAGACAAAAATGCAATCTCCCATTCAAGAAGAGAACGTTATACAACAAGGAGATGATTGCTGTGAAGATTTCAGTGGTATTATACATTACATTATAATTGTAGGGGGAAAAAAACAGGTTAAATATAAGTTTCAATTTGCAATAAGAGCTGATGCAACATGTCTTCTTATTCTTTTGTTTTAAATTTTGAAGGTGAACCAGCCAACTACATTAATGTAGGTGATTCGGACAATGACTCCAGATCTCAAAAAAGAGAAGTAACACTTGATGATTTTGAGTTGTCAGAGAACTTCTCCCAGATTGTTAAGTTCGGCGAGCTTAATGAAGATAAAACAACCCTTGTGCATCAAGGAAGAACAAGGCAGCCTGGAAAGCATGCCAAATCCCCTTTTCTCCCTTTTTACAGTTCTGGGGGGAGCACTTCTGTTGGACCTCTAATTTTCCTCATCAAGCATCTATTTACTGGGGTTATAAGCAAAGATGTTGATCCTGACTTGTTGGAAGAATTCAATAAGTGGTTATACTTTGGTACTGATACAATTTCAAAGAGGTTAGTTTATACAATTTGTTCATATTTTCAAGTGCATTCATCTTTTGTATTTCCACTTGAATCTACATATTTATTGTAATTGCTATGTGTTTAAATAGGAGGAAGGCGCCTTATTCTGTAAAACATAACCAGCTTAAGCCGTGGTATGATCTTGGAGTGGAGAAAGTTAATAAAAAAGAGTGGTTTTATACTTTGGTACATCCCGGGCAGGTCCTCAGCGACACGGTAAATACATACCCTGGCAGAATTTAATGACTAGTTGTAGTATTCTGTCATCTAAAGATTTTGTAGTTTTTTTGTTTAAAAATTGTAGTTAAATTGTATGAAGCATTGAAAAATAATGAAATCTATTTTTATGCAGCACATTGATGTTATTTTATATTATTTGAGAAAGAAAGGAAAGTATGATCCTCAAAATAAAATACGGTTTACAACCACTGATTGTATGTTCAAGACTAGAATTGAACAAATTTATCAGAGATACATCAATGCTCCTGCCGATAAGAAGCTTGTTGTTGTCAAACCCCAGGACATCATATCATACTACATATTGGGGTATAGGTTACTCGCAAATGTTGCATGAGATGAAGTTGATTTTGTGATTATGGCCATAAATATTGTGGAGAAATTTCATTGGTTGTTGGTTGTGTTTGACATTACCGATAGGGTTCTATATGTTTATGATTCTATTGTCTCTTCACGAAATCACAACCTTGTTGAATCTGTTGTTAACAAGTTTGCTGTAATGATCCCTCTCTACTTGTCATGCATCGACTTCTATGGCAAGCGTCCAAACATCAACTACAAGAACACAAAGGCATACATTAAAAAAGGTATTACCGACCCTCTTGACATTCAGTGGTTGGTCGGTGAGATACCCCAGCAAAAAGAGGGATCACTGTATGAAAAAGCTATTTTTCCTTCTATCTATTTAACAAATTTTATTTTGCCATGAATGATAAATCTTTTCCCCTAATTTTTTTTGCAGTGATTGTGGTGTATACATTGCTGCATTTGCAAAATATGTCAGCATTGGAGAGCTAGCAATTTTAAAGGAAGACCTTTCTGATATTGATCAATATCGTAGACGATATGGAGCGCTACTTTGGGATTATGCTAGGAAGAAGCAAGATACTGGTGCAATTAGTGAGAGCGAGGTGACTGGCAGGTTAGTAAGAAGAAAAAGTGCACCAGATGTGAACGAGAGAACACAAGTCCGGAAGAAGAAGAATTAATTTCCCTTTTCTGTAAAAAAATTATAGTTAAATTGTTTAGTTGTAGTTGTTTTGTAGTAAAAATGTAGACAAATTATTATCTAAGAACAAGTCAGTTGAAGTTTATTTGTAGCAGATTTGTGCTACAACTGTTTTACCCTATATTTTGTTATTTTATCCAGGATATTACCACTTAGAATAGGAAACATCTGTTTTTTTTTGGTTGAAAGTTGTTAGTACTTGATATCGTTATTGTTAGCATATAATTTCTTTACAACTTAACTACAATTATGTATTATACATACAAAAAATACATAATCCAATCAAGTTATGAAAGGCTGAAATGAATACGCTCAGTAATTAAACAAAACAAATACAAACCAATTGTATTAAGAGCTGAAAATATTTCATTATAGGAGACAGTCTTTATTCAATTTATCAACACAATTACACCTTAACTATATTTCTTCAGAACACCTCAACACAATTTATTAAAAAATCTTGTGACTTTATCAAAATTTATTTCCTCTTGGGAGTATTCTTACAAGATCTTTTGTTATTCCCTTCTAGTCCGCAGTTGCCACATGAAACCTTGTACTTCTTTGCATTTACTTCATCATATGGTTTGTATCTTTGTTTTTGAGGTCTTCCTGGCTGTCTTTTCTCCGTAGGTGGCATTACAACTTCTTCAGCTATATGTTGTGGCACATTTCATTTGCTTTCGTCAGGCAGCGGATCTACTGGTATTTCATAAGTATGCAAAAGGCTCTCCCTCGTGTAATAAGGAGAACAATAGTTTTCATAAGACTCATTCCTGTGCCTCAGAGCCGCCAAAGCACGTGCACAAGGAAGTTCATCAAGCTGGAATTGTCCACAACTACATCTCTTGTTTTGAAGACAAACAATAAAGCGTTTTACACCATCTATCAATGTATGGATGTGATCTGTTGAAGCCCTCACCTATATTTTAATTACACACAACAAGTTGTCAGAAACATATACAAAATAACTACAATTATACAATATTTTATCTACAATTAACAGTATATATTTAGTTTGATGGAATCATTGATCTGATGTTACTGGATATAGCTTACTCTCATCTTCTGCGATAATGTACCCTTTACTTTCAATAACTTTTCATTAGTCCAACGTTCAAGAAGAGTCCTCATGTACTCTAATAGTTCTACTATGGGCAACTCTCTTGCATATTTTGTTATCGCATTCAATGACTCTGCAATGTTTGATGTCATCGTTCACGTTCTGTTCACCGTAGCACGTACCCGAGATCATCTGTGATAGCCAATATCGTATAGGTATGCTTTAACACGCGTGTCGATCTCTTCAATCTTTGACATTCTTTCATTAAATTCATCAAGCGTGTATGGTCGGGCCGTGGTAAAGTACAATTCGCTTAACTTTAGATGACCCTTCTTGAACTTTGACCTTATATTTGTCCAAATATGCCACATGCAAGCATAATGTGGCATGTCGGTATAAACAATAGATGTTGCCTTCAAGATACACTCATTCCGATCTGAAACAACACACATATTTAGTTTTTCACCATACGCATGTTTGAATTGCTCAAAAAACTACTTCCATGATGCGTCATTTTCTGAATCAACAACAGTGTATGCCAGTGGTAATATGCTACCTATCACATGTGGCAAAAAGAAATTCAATTTCCATAATAAAACTGGAGATGAAAAAAAAATACATACTAAAAAATAAATTTACAACAATATTTCTACAATTAATCTACAATACATGTTGCATCCATTGTGCTAGTTGTTAACATTATTCCTCTATATGCCGACTTCAAGAAGGTCCCATCAACTACTACAACTGGCCTACAATACTCCCAACCCTTGATGGATGTACTAAGCGAAATAAATGCGTACAAGAAACAGTCATCGTCAGTCATCTGCAATTTAACTACCGACACCAGATAAGTCTTCTCCAAAATATACAAATAACTTGGCAAGCGATTATAGGAATCAGCAGGATGACCTCTCAAAAATTCCAAAGCCTTTTCCTTTGTTCTCCAAGCTTGCATGTATGTTAAGTTTACATTGTGTTGCGACAATATATCAGTTTGTATGTCTTTTGGTGTGTAAATTGTCTTAGGATCCACATATTTTGGTATAACCATGCTACCAACTACTGTGGCAGTCGGTTTGCATTGTATGTATGTATTGTCCATCAAAGAGCATGTGTGCAAGCTATTGAATTTTCGAACCTTGAACGATGCTGGATCATTTATGTTGGTGGACTTGAAGTGCCATGTACAATTGTCCCCAACACATACCAGGCAGTAGCTACAGAATAAAAACAATTTAAAGAATGTTATGAAAAATGTAGCTACAAAATAATAGGTTGTTTAAGCATAAAAATCTTATATTTAACAATTTATATACAAAAAAACTATAAATTATATACAATTTGTATACAATGATATTACAAACTATAAAAAAAAATACAAAAAAACTACAAATTAAACAAAAATATGATGTTGACAATTGAACTGTTCCTACCTTCTTGCGCTAGACCTTTTCACCCTAAATTGGAACTTGTTCATGACAGAATAGTTCTTCATTGCACTGGTAATTGTTTGCTTGTCTTTGTAGACTTAGCCTACTTCAATAACATTTGGCGTATGTTCTGTTATGATGATACTTTCATATTCCACTATCGCCGGAGATGTTGGCATATCAATCAACTTCAATGTTCCAGATAAACCTGCACTCAATTAAAGCTAACTACAGTTCAGACATTGTCGCGCCCCTTCTTTCTCGCAAAATAGGGTTTCAACACGTGACAACTCTTTTAAAGGAAGGGTGTTAAAAGAGATAGTCGCCACCTAACGGGTTTGAGGTGCGTTAGGGCACCTATTTGCAAATAACTATGGTTTAACCAGTTTGCGTCACCAAAGATCGGGTAAGGGCTCAAATTACCTCGAGGAGAAGGTGCTAGGCATTCCTCGAGGTCCACAACTATGGGTCCCGGCCGAACTCGAATTATATGAATTAGTCAAAAACAAGAGGGAAAGACAAGAAGTTTGGGCAATTATTATTATCAAAAGTCTAC